ATAAAATAAAATAAAATAAAATAAAATAAAATAAAATAAAATAAAATAAAATAAAATAAAATAAAATAAAATAAAATAAAATAAAATAAAATAAAATAAAATAAAATAAAATAAAATAAAATAAAATAAAATAAAATAAAATAAAATAAAATAAAATAAAATAAAATAAAATAAAATAAAATAAAATAAAATAAAATAAAATAAAATAAAATAAAATAAAATAAAATAAAATAAAATAAAATAAAATAAAATAAAATAAAATAAAATAAAATAAAATAAAATAAAATAAAATAAAATAAAATAAAATAAAATAAAATAAAATAAAAATCATGGATATGATTACAAGCGGTTAAACAGTCACTGTTCTCATTAGGAATGAATGGGAAGTGAATGTCTTGTAGTGGAAAGGTTTGGAACTGCAGCCAAACAAAGTTTTACTGAAAGCTCATTTTTTTGTGATGTCAACTTCAAATTTAGAAAAAATGTTTATTGCTTTTTTAATAAACGTATAAACTTAAAGTTCCATACATTTTTCACTTTTATTTGACTTTTATTTGACTTTTTTCACTTCAGCAATAATCTGCCAAGTGTCATCTTGGCAGAAGGAATAAAACTAAACTTTGTGCTCACAGTTTATGTTGGAAATTTCATTTTCAAGTCTATGCTCAAAAAGCGATTAATGGATCATAACTACTGCATTAATATAATTTAGTACCATAAAATCCCTAAAAATACAAAATGTGAAATAAAATACATTATCAAACTAAAATATAGTAAATGAATTTCATTAGAGAAAAAGCGAGGGTTAAAGCAAGTAAAAAAATCATACACTGCAAAAAAAAAAGTTTTCCTTAGTATTTTTGTCTTGTTTTCTAGTATAAATATCTAGTATAAAATTATTGAATCGGGATGCATTTACTTGACAAGAAAAATGATTCAAGACACGTCTTGTTTTCTGAAAATATTATCCAAATATCGTTAGTTCTTGCGTAAACAAGTAAAAATATCTGCCAGTGGGGAAAGAAAAACCTTCTTAACTCAAAGGCTAAACAAGATTCTTTTTCTTGCGTCAGTGGCAGATATTTTTACTTGTTTACGCAAGAACTAACAAAATTTGGATAATATTTTCAGAAAACGAGACAAAAACAAGACTTAATTTTCTGTAAAGCTGCTTTGCAACGATTTGTATCATGAAAAGCGCTATACAAATAAGCTTGAATTGAACTGAATATTTATACTCGTTTTAAGCAAAAACTAACAAAATCTGTATAATTTTTTCAGAAAACAAGACATAATATCTTGAGTCATTTTACTTGTCAAGTAAGCGCATCTTAATTCCAGAATTTGTAGATATTTATACTAGAAAACAGGACAAAAAACGACATCTTTTGCGGTGTATTTTCACATTCAAAATACATTCCCCAAAACATCTTCTTATGTTTCACAGAAAGAAACTCATGCAGAACGGTCATTTTTCAGCACATCTTCCTGACTTTTAAGATGTAAGACGTGTTGAGATGAGCGAGCTTTTGTCTTTGCGGAGGCTGAGTCAGAGCTTCGGGTTCAACTTCAGTTTCAGATCATCATAATTCATATTTCATAAGAGACGCCAGCAGGTTGCACGGGTCACTACCTCATAAACGGGTCAGAAAACGTCTCGCCTCGGCTTTCCATCAAAGTCCGTCAATCACCTGTTTGAACGACAGAAATGAGTATTATATGATATATAATGACATCTTCTGCATATTCCTGCAGGTCTTGTTCAGTTCGAACACACACCGACACAGAAACAGAAAGTGTGAATGATGTTCGCTGGGAATGCAATGCAAGACACTTTTAATGAAAGCATCTCTCAAACGCATGACTTTGACTTTGAAGATCGAGATGCAAACTGGCATCATATTTCTTATTTTATTTTGTTAGCTCAACAACTGTCGAGAAGCAGGTTACCAGGGTTATTGGTGAGGGAAACAAACGTAAACATAAACAAACAAGCAAATAAATAAATAAATAAAACC